AAAAAAAACAAATTGCGTCCACATTTGACCCATTAAATCATTAAATGTCACTCAGTTTGCAATTATAATGTGGAAAATACTCTAGTGATGTGCGGATGAAGCCTTGTGAAGGTTTTTTTTTTTTTTGCACTTTCTTTCTATTTGTGCCGGAAAAGGAGTTGCTTTGGAGCTTCAAACCAAGCAAGCAGGTCCACCGCGACATCTAGTGGCTTTTAAAACGTATAGCAGCCTTTAAAGACGGGTCAAAGCATTACAGCACCGCGATAACAGTTCAAGTGCATAATAAAAGTCTAGGAAGCATGCATGTAATAAAACCTATAGAAGTCCAGTGTCACTGTGAACTCATGCGTTTTAACTTAATGCATATTATACTTTTTGCACTATTGTATTCATTAAATGATGCTATACTTTTATAACATACCAGGTGGAAATGTTCTCATACTTGTGATTGTCTTTCCAGTAGGCTGCTTTGCCATAGTTCTTAATTTTTTCATCCACTGATCTGCATAAACCTTTAAAGCCTTCTAAAAGTATTATTAATGGTGTAATTCATTTAGAAAAAGGGCATTTCTAGCTGTGAATCACACAGTGCTCAAGTGTGTGCTGCAAACTGTCCTTATTGAAACTATAAACAGCATGGGTGTGTGGCAAGAAATAGATCAGTCCAACACATCGTGGGATTTCCTCATAACTTTAGTGAAGTCCAAATACAGCACACCTTTCCTACATCCAGCACCCTTTCTTCTTCTCTCAAGTTTTAAACCTCAGGATAAGGATAATCGCCTTTATTGGCCAAGTATGTTACACACAAGGAATTTGTTTCTAGTATAGAACTGATGGCAGCCATCTGCAGCGCCAACTCAACAGATGGCTCTAATCATCGGGGGCAATGGGGGGGGTTCAGTGTCTTGCCCAAGGACACTTTGACACGTGGACTGGAGGCACTGAGATTTGAACCTTCAACCTTCTGGTTGGACAACTGCTCTACCCACCGCACCGCTGTCGCCACCCCCTGCTGATCTGAGTGGCAGATCTCAGAATATCAATCACACCTTGTTGTGCCAACAAACTTATGCAAATATTTTTACATAACACAATCGAACCTATGTTTGCACAAAAATGTTTAAATGGCACAATTTCACTCTCCCAATAGTATTGTATGTTGAAAGGTCTGAGAAGTTGGATTTAAGTCAGTTAACCAACAGAACTGTGTCATATGTCAAATGATGAATATGTCTAACTGTGCTGAACAGAGCATGATTATGCTGTCAGTAAGGAGAGTGTGCATTTTAAACATAGGGATCATTTGAAGAAGAAAGTTAAAACAGTGACAGAGAAGAACTGGAAAAAGTCATGCTTAAACTATTAAAGAGACACAGGATTAAACAGGTAGCAAAGGTAGGCAGTGCCAGAGCAGGTTTCTGTGTACACGGGAAGTAGGTAGCCTACGGTTATGGGTGCTGATGAAATTGCTAAGGACTTAACATCTGTTAATACTTAACTGGCTGCAGGCAGAATCTGAACTCCGGTGTCGAGAGAGGAACAAATTAATTGCAGAAAAAATACTATGTTGCAAAAAACTTTCAGTTCAAATTGATTCGCTGCAGTGAGAGACTTAAGCAGCAGCATCACACACATACTGTATATACACGAAGATGAAGCATGGGAAGAGTAAGTTAGAGAAAGCACAGCAAAAAACAAAAGTTCTGAGGAGATGGAGGCAGAAAAGAGAGTTCAGGATCTCTGTGAGGAATTGGGACAAATTCTATTATAGAAAAGAAAAGACTTCCTTCATTATCATACAGAGAAAGGCAGGCTGAGCTTTTGAGAGAAGAGCATGTTTAGACTCGGGGTTGTCACCACCTTTGGCATGGAAAGTATTCAGACATTGTTAGACAAGTATGCATGGATTCAGTCAGACAGGAGTAAGTGCTAACAAAGCCACAGAAGAAACTTGATGGGTATGAACACAGTCAGGTTGCTAAGTGCCACCTTCTGCAAGTATATGGTATAATAATGGTTTTAAGAGAACAAGCACCGGGCTCTGTCCAGCGCACATCTGAGACTGTTAGAGATATCTAGATTGTGGCCAAGGACAGTGGAGGAGAGGTGAATGTTGCTTTCTGTGAGAAAAAAGCTTAGTCTAGGATAAATAATTTAATGAGGAGAAGTTCAGTGTGATTCTGATGGATTATGGGCCAAGCATCCTGCTAGATGCAGTGTAGAACTGCACACTTGGTTCATTGCCATCTTCTGAGATGATGCATACCTAACATTTGTGATTTTTCTTGCCCACACCTCCCTGTTTGTCTGTCTTCACTTAAGCTAAACTGTCAATGGATCCAAACCTTGTATTGATTCACAGCATTATGGAGTAACATATAATTCATAGAATTATATAAGATATATGGTTTTGTACTAAGAACCCAAATACAGACAAACTCAAAAGATAACAGTGAAAAGGAGATTTAATGCAGACACAGTTGACAGGCACAGAACACAAAAGACTAACAAAAAAGGACCACAAGTAAGCAAAGCAGAAGCAAATAACTGTTTCCAGGAAGGTATAACAAATGACAAGACCAAACAAGAGGAACTGAAAACTAGATACCAACTTCCTCATGGCAAATTTCTTGTTGGTCAGTCCTGCATTACTGTGATCTTTTCTATCTTACCAGATCCCTTTGTTTTTAAGCTAAGCTGCATGTCTTTGGACTGTGGGAGGAAGCCGGAGTTCCATGGAGAGAACCCATGCAAGCACAGGTAGAACATGCAAACTCCACACTGAAAGGTCCCGGGTGGGGCCCGAACCCAGAACCTTCTCGCTGTGAGGCAACGGTGCTAACCACTGCGCCACCATGCTGCCCACCTTCTTTCCAATTTCCATTATTTTCATAATGAATATTTCTGGTTTGGTTTTTCTCTCCAGCCATTATACTGTTCTGCTTCCTGCAGTGCCTCATCTTCTCCTAGCAGCGTCAGTTTATCCCCTTTTCATTTTATATTTTACCTCCTGATTTCCAGGTAGTGTGATTAAATACATAGTACTTGGATAGAACAGTCCTTTGTTTTGTTTTTTGTGCCCATACATGGATTGCTGTGCACATGCTGCAGTGCGCCAGCTACGACGTGCATGACATGTACACCATGATGTACGAACCCTGACCACTGCGCCTCAGCTTGTATTTTGCTTTGACATTCTGGATACAAGAACAAATCAATTCTTTTTCCGTTATTATAAATCTAAATAGTTCCACTGCCAAACACAGGGGCTTGTTAAAACTCGAATGTGTGATTATGATGCACAGCAGATCAACACTGAGACACGTGCCCCAGTAAAAGGGATCTAACTATGCCTATATGTCTGAAGAGCCCCTCAGCCACGCTCCAGGGTGAACTTGTGTTAAAGCTGTGTCCCTGGAATACCATTCCCCCATTTCTTTATTTTTGCAGTTAGCTTTATTAGCAGTTTGTTTGTCATTCTGTTTCTCTGCTCATTCGTCATTTCCAGTCAACAGGGATTACTACTCTTACCACTGCATCCTTCATGCAGTTACCAACATGTTCATGCTGCCCTCTGCATGTTGTTGCTTGTTGTTAACCTGGGAGACCTGCGGCATGGACTGTGGGATATGTTCTCTCTGTGGTTTGGCATCTGTAGAATGTACTGCTCGTCTTCTGTTGTATATGCAGTGTGTATTACAAATGAAAATCCCATCTAAGTGTCTTTCTTTGGCTGTCACTGGTCATCAGTGAAGAAAAGCATTAAAATGATTTAACAACTATTTCTTTCCCTTTCCAACTATAAACTGAGGGCTCCACAGAAGGAGAAAGATGTTGACTTTGGGTTGAGCATGGACCCAACTGCTGGATCTTTTTTGTTTAAACAAAATGATACATTTTGGTAACTGCTTTGGGCTTTTTGTGTAACCCAATGTGATTATTTTCCATTGAGATATATTAGGTAGGTAGGTAGGACTTCATTGATCCCACAATGGGGAAATTCCTGTGTTCAAGCAGCAACAAAACACCATATGAACAAACACATACCTTGAGAAACAGATTCCAAAGTACTTAAAACCAGACAGAATATAGTATTTGAGAAACAAATCCTCCCACAATTAATCCCTGAGAACAAATCAAGATACCTAAGAACAAGACAAAATATAGTATTCAAGAGATCAAGACATCAAGGACAAGAATATTACTCCCATAATTAATCCCACAATGGGGGAAATACCTGTATTTCAGCCACGAGGATCTCTGAAAAGCTACTCAAAAATATCTAAAACAAGACAATATAAAGTATTCGAGAGAAATCAAGGGCACGATTTTACATATGTGCGTATTAACCATGCATTTTACCCCAGGATTAGAGTATTGCACCTCAGTTGACTATTACATAGTCCCTCATGATTTCACCTAGCTTATCACTGCAGTGATGTGTTGTACAGTCTGATAGCTGTGGGGAGGAATGACCTATGGTAACGCTTCTTCTTGCACTGGGGACGTAGCAGTCTTGTGCTGAAAGAACTGTTCAGAGCCACCACTGTGTGGTACAGGGGATGGGAGGGGTCATGCATGATGGATGTTAGTTTTACCAGCATCCTTCTGTCCACCACCTCCTCAATGGAATCCAGAGAGCAGTCCAGGACAGAACCAGCTCTCTTAACAAGCTTGTTGAGTTAAGACCATGCTACCTCCTGCCCAACCCACAACAGCATAAACAAAACGCAGATGCCACCACAGTATCATAAAAAGTCAGGAGTGCCCCACAGACACACCAAAGGACCTCAAACATACAACTTCTGTTTAATGGTTCTGGGTGTGCTTTTTGCCTGTTCAAATTTCCATATAGATACTTTAGTGAACTAAACCTTGCAAAACAGGACATCTGAACAAGTGGTGACCTGCTTCTGTTTGGAAAAAGTCCCCACAGCTAAGCCTATGAACAGAGAGGGAAAACGAGTTTTGAAAAGACTTGAGAGATTTTGTTTTGTGAAGCCAGACTGTGCCTGACAATAATCACTAGGCTTTTAAAATTAATTTGTACAATGAGAACAGTTTATTTTGTCATGTTGAATGTAAAATAGTAAAAAAAAACAGTAACAAACCTTGTCTTCCTGAGGAGGAGCAGTCATTAAGGTGTAGAGTTTGGGTTTATAATGGATTTTTAAAAAATCCTGTACCACTATAGCAGCCCAGTTATACAGTTTTAGGTAATCTTTGAAACTTGACAAGACTTTATTGATCCTTGGTGGGAAATTTAGAAGCTACACACTACTAGGCTACTGCAGATAAGTAGGCTGTAATGTGGTTAAAATAAGCTTCACCTTTACCAGCTGCCGCATTAATTGTGATGTGCACAATAACGCATCAGTATTAAGAATCCAATAATATAATATATAGTGAAATGTGGCATTCTGCATATATTGCTACTTAAAATAGCCTACATTTTGACGGCAATATTTTAGTCCTTTTACTTAAGTAATATTTTGAAAGTAGAAGTTGTACCTGTGACAGTTTTTCTACTTAAGTAAAACAAACTCAGCAGTAGTGGCTAAACTAAGTCAGGGACACCTAGACTTTCTTCTAAATAATGCACATTTCATTCATAATATTATAAACACAGACCTATAACTTGCACATTTGTTTTTTACAAATTGTGTGAACAAAGTAGGGCAGAGATGGTGGAGGAGACCAGGACGAACAGGTGAGTAGAGCAGACTAACGGTAGGAACCAGGAGAGGAGGAGGATCAGGACAGATAGGGGAATAGACGACTAACCAGGAGTTTTGGCGAAAGACGAACATACCACGAACATACCACGAACATACCACGAACATACCACGAACATACCACGAACATACCACGAACATACCACGAACATACCACGAACATACCACGAACATACCACGAACATACCACGAACATACCACGAACATACCACGAACATACCACGAACATACCACGAACATACCACGAACATACCACGAACATACCACGAACATACCACGAACATACCACGAACATACCACGAACATACCACGAACATAGGCCTGTTACGGAATATAGAAGGTAATACTCCCACCACAACAGAGCGTCCGCCAGAGGTTTAAATAAGGAAGGACACTGGTCACTGTAATGCGCCCCAGCTGTGTGTGGCTACCCACGAGTCACTAATTGCAGGATGCGAAACAGCTGAGGCGCCGATCCCTTAAGAAGAGAGAAAGGCGGAAGAGAGGCAGGTTGCGCCGAGCGGACCTGACAGGTCATGAGTGACAGCGTTGGGGGACGGGAAATCTGTTGATTGTCGATTGCAAAAAAAAAAAACCAAAAAAAAAAAAAAAAAAATAAAAAAAAAAAAAAAAATCAACTTATACATGTATCGAAATATTACATCATGTACAATTTGAAGTATGTCATCATTACATAACAAGGATGTGACAGAACAGTTTGACATTCGTCTGGGTATTAAATCTGACTTTGAGTCACTTCAAGTAAGAGTCTCAAAGCTAGTAGTCCAGTCTCAGGTCCTGGGGGCCAAGTCAAGTCACAGATCCTAATAAGTAAGCTGCAAATCAACAAGCAAGGCTTTCTTGTCTTAATGCTGACCATTTTAAGTATTTTCATCTTAAAACCGTTAATGCAGTTTTAAAAACAGCTGGGACCAACACCGATCACGACACAATTTATTTATTCAACCTCTGGTGGCTGTAAATCACAAAACAACAAATCATTTTTGATCCATGCTAGAAATCTAAAGCATCAAGCATTTAGAATCAGAAAGTGAGAGATTTAAAAAATCATAAAGGGGAAAATCATTACAGAGGAGGGAACAAAAACCTCTTTCTGCTCTAACGGTTTAAGGAAATGGACTTTGAATCTAACAAAGATGTGGTTAATTACTGGTCTTCTGTGAGGTGTAAAAAAAAAGTTAAAAAAAA